GGGGGGGGGGGGGGGATTGGGGGGGGTTGAGGCCCACTCATCTTAAAGTGGCCAAGTTTGGACAACACTGGTTAAAGGGGAGGTTTTATCAGCTGCAACTCATTGCCTTCTTCCTTCCCCATGAATGATCAAGAACACAACCACCCATAATACGTGTTCTCCGTGTGATTCAGGGTCCTGATTTTTCCAAGATAGAAATCATCTTTAGCTCTGCTGCCTCAGAATTGAGTGCCACCCCATCTGGAGAGTTTCAGACTGGGCAAGCCTGGCTTAAATGACGTTGCAATGCTGAAACAGAGGATTAGCTCTCTTAGGAACAAAAAGCAAATCATCCTTCAAAACAGCGCCATAGAGCAAATAGTGAAACAGACGGGGCTGCATCACCCTAGACATGTGAGTCAGGTATCTGACAAGGTATCTACAGCACACAAAAAGGGATTAACCCCATTAGGAAATTTCAGGTGACATGTTGAAAAGACCCAAATGCCCTTAAACTGTACAAGACAGGTCACAGTCAAACAGAAACTAAATCAAACAAGGATAGAAAGGAACCTGTTTCACCTGCATTTGAATGGAAATGTATCTAATTTGGCATTATGGAACAAATGAACGAATGGAAACATTGCTTGAAATGCACAATAATCCAGATTTTGCATTTCAAGATAGATAGATAGATAGATAGATAGATAGATAGATAGATAGATAGATAGATAGATAGATAGATAGGAGAGAAAGAGAGATCAGAAAGCGCTGTGCAAAAATACATATATTCTTGAAAGTAACGCACAAAATTTATCACAGAAAATTGTTGCAAAGACTGTACATTGGACAGCATTCTAAACAAAATTCCATATATTTGGAGAAATGTGGACCAAGATGGATACAAATAGTGTCCTTTTAAAAAAAATATGAAATTTTCAACAAACTCATCTTGACATACCTGCAGAAATGAGAAACTAAGAAGAAAATGTGACATGTTTGCCAAAATGAGAAACTAAAGTTTTGCACTATGGAAGTCAATTCATGAAATCACTTTGTCACTATCCTCCCGAAGAAATATTGTGAAGAGGCCAGGCGTAACTCCTTAAGAAACGTGCTTCACAATCTACACAATTTTATTACTGTTTCAAGCTCCGTACCTGCTTATTGTTATATCTGAGCTTTCTGCAAAACATTCACCAAGCTTCCAAAAATAAATAAATAAAGGAGGAAAAATCTCCTCCCAACTGCATTATCAGCTTTAAGAAATAATTAGAAGCCTCCATTTCACAGCGGTATTCAAACACCTGTGCGTGCACACACACACACACACACACACACACACACACGAGACATATAAGCACATGGATGAACCTTTATCAGTAGGACTTACTTCTTATCACTGTGGTTCCTTCTCTCCTGATACCATAACAAAGAGGATAGAAAACAGACCCACAGAATAGAATATTTCTGAGAAGGAGTCAATAATGCTACCAACCAGCTGAAGTAGTAATGGAATGAGTGAGAAGACAACACACCCTGAATGGAGCTGTCCTTAAGCAATTACGAAGTTCCACTAATTAAAACAACGTACCAGTTGTATCATGTAAAATGCCGTGGGGCTAATTACATCAGAGAAATAGAGCTGCCTTAATATTCCTGGCAAACTGATGGACAGGCAAAACAAACCGATGGCTTCTGAGGGAAGGTGCCTCCCAACACCATGGTTTATTCTTCTTCATCAGTCCTAAATGAAACTCATTTCGGAACGGCCTGGTATCTGGAGCTGGGGCGTAAATGGAGGCTGCCTTAAGTTTGGAACTATTAGCTCATGCACTTGAGAAAAGGAGAAGAACAGGCCATCTTGGTCAAATAATCAGTTGGTGCTTTTGAGGGTATCTTGGGAGGGTGGGTTCGCTCTTCTGCCTCCTAGAGCAGGGTTAGACAATCAAAAGGCTACAGAGCCACTGAAAACCCTCTCACTTTGTCATCTGGCCACCACAATTAGCTGGGCAAATTCTTGGGATACAATTCAGAGCCCACTTGAAGGCCAAAACAATGGTTCACAAAGCAAAGTTTCACCATAACCAATAAAAACGGAGTCATCTAGCTGAGCATTTTCAAGCAGACAGTGGTCCATGTCAATAAAATAGAGACCACTTAAATCATTTATTGTGATCAACATGCACAATGTTTTGTAGATAAAATTGCTTGCATCACATCCATGCCAACTTGGATATCATAATTAGTTCCAAGTCCAACTGATAACTTTGGACCCTCCTTGTCCAGATATACTGAATATTATTCCATCTGTACAGCCCAAGAGTGCAGAGAGATTCTTGGTAAGGTAAGATTTAACCTTTAGTGCTTCACCTTGCCTTCTTTGGTGTATACAAGAATCTGGACATGACCTGCTGAAGATGTGACATGAAATCCTCTCAACCCCACGGTGTGATTCCATTTGCCCTAAGGAGGATAGAGTCTCTGAAGCCCATTATATTAATTTATCCAATGTTCCATGACTGGTAAAAATGTTGAAATGTACAATAGCATGTCAGTTTCAGGAGTCCACATATCATGGATTTATTTCAATCTGGCTTCAGGCCCAGTTAGAAGACAGTGTCTGTTAGTTTGCCTTGGTGGACAACCTACACTATTAACTGCATAGAGAACATATGACCCTTTTGGTTCTGTTGAACTTCTCAAAAGCTTCTGATGTTCTTCTAGATAGGCTGGGATATGATTCAGAAGGACTTTTCATGGTATAGTCAATCCCTCATTGGGATCAATTCAAAAAGTGATAGTGGGACATTCTTTTCAATACCATATATATTGGCCTATGGAAGGATGGACAATGACTCCAAAGGGCCCCAGCCCAGATTTCAATTTCAGCATGAATCTAACTCATCACCACATGTAATCCTGATCCAGCAGCTGGTTGACAAGTTCTCAGAAACCTCACTGTGGTGGGTGCACAGTGGTGGTAATCAAAGCTGTGGCAATAATATGGACGTGGGGAGAACTGGATGAAAAATAAGCTCCACCCAAATCACACAGGAAGTTTGTACCGTTATGAGTTGTCCTTATATTGCCAATGATGTCCTTCAGGATTTGTCTTACATTATAAACATCATACTGACTAGCAATTTGCAGTTGACAATCAACACAGTCGTATATTTGTAATACTTTTATTGTAACACTCAATACCATTGCCTGAGGATTCCCAGCCCCATTTTATATATCTCCTCCTTGTCCATCTTCTGTTTTAACTGAAAGCTACTGAGCATATTCAATTTTCCATGGGCTGCTTTTTATGTGGGTTGCCCCCTTAGCTTGGGGGGGATGAGCAACCAAAGCATTTTTTTTTTATATCGTTTTGATATTTCTGCCCTAAATACTCCTCCTCCTCCTCCTTCTTAACATTTGCATTTCTTGGCTTCAATTTTGTTGGCACTCACGACACCAACCTTTCTTTTTGAAGAAATGGTTTTTTTTCCAAAGGAAGCCTTATTTAGGAGAATCAAAGAACTTCCAGAGATTTGGGTGTGGCAGACCTGTAGAACAAACAACTCAAGAGCACAACCAACCTCTTCCTTAAAAAAAAAGTTTCCAAACTTCTTCCAAACCAAAGTCAGGAACAAAAAGTAAATTGCTGGTGTGGAATGGTGACAATTTGGACTGAGATCATCTGGAGGAGGGGGCAAAGTTAAAGCCCTTGGTCCCATTCCAGAACAAGAGGTCCTCGCCTACAATTTCCTTTAAAAACAACCACACAATTGCTAATTGCATATTTGGTTTTCATGTGGTACAGACTTTAAAGGTAGAGTAGATACATCTCATGCCAGGGCACCAGGTTCAGTCTCCAGGATAGAAAGGATTTCTGAATCCTAGAGAATCACTGGCTGTATTTTCACAACTCTCTAAAACTGGATAGAGTTAACCCTGATTCATTTTTTCCTCTCTGTCTTGCATGTGGTTACAGAATTAACTCACTGAATTATAAACTAACCAGAGTTTAAACTGATTTCCTTTAAAAAAAACTAACTAACAATCCAAACTAACTAACTAAAAAAAAAGCTTTAAAGAAGATTAGTGAATTGGCACTACATTAAGAATAGGTCCAAGAGGATAGATTAATCATTATTAGCAAAAGAAGTCCCATTGAAGGCAACTGGTGTACTTGATATCCTGGTGCGCACATTATGCTAAACCACGGTTCCTTGACTAAACCAACATTGGCTGATCTTATCCATCATTTTATGGCCTAAGACACAACTTACAGTCCACACAGGTTAGATTCATGGAACACGTTAAGCCAAACCACATAACCATGTTATGTTTTAGCCTAATGTGTAAAAGACAGTCACTTTGCTTAACCCACTCTGCTCACAGTACAGAGAAATCTACCAGGTTTTCTCCAATCTTTATCCTTGACACACTGGATCAGTCCTGGCACCAGCTTAGAAACGTGTGGCTGTTATCGTTCCACTAATGCTATTGTTTTTATTTGGTTTTGCACATCCATTTTCCACGCTGCTGTTGGCTGCTTGGCTCTGCCTAAAAATGGGAAAAGTGAAAAACAATTAGATTTCATTATACCTGATACAACAGAAATATGTACCTAATCCTTGGATCACAGCTCAAAGTAATGTTGCAAGATTTAAAGTTTAAATGATTTCATTATACCTGATACAACAGAAATATGTACCTAATCCTTGGATCACAGCTCAAAGTAATGTTGCAAGATTTAAAGATTTAAACCTTTCATCGCACAAGGACGGTCAAGAAATTGTAGGAGCAGGTTCATACATTCTTGTTCATCCCTTGATG